GCGCGGCCTCGTCGCGGCCCGCGACCGCGCCGATACGCTCGCTTTGAGAGCCGTCGGTCACCGCGCGTCGCAGCGGCGGGGAAACGAAGCTTCTCCGTTCACCGTCGCACCCGCACCGCCGGTCCCCAACATACAGATGCTTCACCAAGCGCCTTTGAAGCTTCGTTTTCCCATCACGAGCGCGTCGGGATCGCCGACGATCTTGCGTGCCGTCCAACGGCCCGTACGGCGGGCGACGCGAGGTTTTGTTCCGGCGCTTTGCGCGAGAGACTCACATTTCTCAGGCGGCGTCACGGTGATGGTCTGCGCCGTGAACTCCTCGTCAAAGTACCTGGTGTCCGTCTCCGACGTCACCTGAGGCTTGAATGGAGGAAGCGTCTGCGGCGGGAGGACGGCGTCAAGGATCCCGCGTCCGGTCGGGCATTCAACGGAGGCGCGCGCGCGCGGCCGCACCTTTTTGTCGTACACGTGCTGCCAGTCGACGCCGGAAAAGAAAGCGTGCCTCATGATGTCTTTGGCGTCCTCCGGTCCGCCGCCGAGCCTAGTTCCGGCCAAAAAGAAAGAAAAGCACACGTTTGGCAAGCGAAACGGGATCCAAGACAACGCGGCGCTCGGACAACACGGTCAAAGTGAATTTCAAGCGCAACACAAAGTCAAAAGCAACTCCGACCGCCAAACTCTTGTCACCCTGCTTTGACCTTTTTCGATGAATCCCTTCGATTCTCATTTTGGAAGCGCGATGCGGTGTTCTTGTGTGTGCGTTTGGTCCCCTTTCCTTTTGGACCCGACGCGCACAAACCGTTTGTTGGGGTCCTTGATGAGGAGTCCCGAAAGCAGCGACTTGGCGTCGGCCGAGAGCGTGCGCGGGAACTTGATGTCCTCCATCAGGATGAGCTCAAAGAGCTTCTCGTGGTCCTGGTTGTAGAAGGGCAGCCGGCCGCACATCATCTCGTACGTCACCACGCCCAGGCCCCACCAGTCCACCGCTCGCCCGTAGTCGTTGTCCTCCAGCACCTGACCGCAGCGTGCACGGAGACATCAGGTTTTGCTTTGGGGGGCTTTGCCGGAGCCGTCGCGGACCTCGACTGGCTGCCGGACGGCGAAACAAAAATGACCGACCGCGTGGAAAATGTCGACGCAAAGCTTCCAGGCGGAGATTTGGCCTTCCCCTTTTTTCTTGAGCGCGCAATCTATTTCTGATCAAGTATCTGTCGTGATACGAGGCAAGTTTTGGGCCCCGGTGAAGACTGCCAAAAGAAAATAAGCCCAAGGCCCTTCCGCATCCCGATCGGCTTTGTTTTCATTGCTTTGATTCGACTTGGATCGCGGCCCTCACGATGGTTTTGTTTTTTTAGAGAGAGCGATTTCGCGCCGCAGCGGCAAGAGGCCGCCGACTCGCACGCACCTCACTTTGGATCTCCCTTTGAGCGGCAACTTCAGCTCGACGGCCTACAAGCCACGTGAAAAACGTCAGGTGTCGTCGGTCTTCCCGAAAAGCCGCAAACGCCAACGCCGCGGCGGCCGCTCGGCTCAACGTGGCGCAAAATCAAGGCAAAATGTTCTTTGACGCCGCGTTTTCTTGCTCTTTTTACGAGACATCTGCTTTGCATTCTGCACGTGTGCATTTATTTTATTGGCATGAAAGCGCCCACGGTGGCAAAGAAGAAGAAGAAGAAGAACGAGCGGACAGATGAGCCAGGAGATAAAGCGCAAGCGAGTCAATATGGCGCCAAGCAAGGTGGCTGCAGGGGAGCATTAAAAGAAGAAGAAAAAAAAGAAGCCGGGATGGCAAACGTCAGCGGGCGGCGGGTCTTCAGAGGACGAAAAGGACGTCCCCGGATGGAGAAGGCGGGTCGCGGCCGCGCGGCGACTCCATCAAAGCGGTCTCGCGCGCTCGGCCCGCTCCCGCCTCGTCCATCTGCGCCGCCTTCATCCCGTCGCGAGCGAGGCCGAGGTCCTTCAGGTGCTCATTAACATCACGAGCCGATTCGCACGTGACGCCACGACGAGCGCGAGTCTGAGCGCGCGAGCGTGTGAGTGTGAGTGCGTGGTGACGGACAGCCCGGCGCGGTTGGAGAGCGTCCAGAGCGGCATATGCCGGACAATAACAAGAAGAAGAAGACGTCTTCTCACCGTTAAGAATAATGGAGCGGGCCGGGCCGGCGCGCGCCAACCAGCCTTTAGCGGCCGACAGCCGTTGCCTAATGACGCTCGGCAACTCCAGGCGACGTCGGCACGACTGGAACGTGAGCTCCGCGGATTCAATAGCTTCCTATTCTTTCATCTCTACGGCTGCACATCAGACCGAGAGTGGCTTGGTCGAATACCTCGCTGCTCTCTGCGAGATCTATTTCTTATTAAAAAAAAAAAAAGAAGTTTGAAAAAAAATACGGTGGTGTTTTTTAAGCACACGTTTGAATGTCATGATCAGATTCCACTTTTGGAGATGCAAATGGAGCATCTTGAACAAGAACAGCATATGGAAATCAGGAAATCAATACTGTCGATTGAGATTTGCTCCGAAACTTGTGAGGCAGGCACACCGGCTTGGATTTCAGGATTTGCGGCGGGCGGCCGACAGGAAAATGAGGAGAGGCCAAACGTCGGTCACCAAGCCGGGCCCTCGAAAGCCGCCATCCATTCAGAGTCACAGACGCGCGCGCGGCGCTCTCCTTCCACGACGGCGCGGCTTCGCAAAGACGCCGCTCGTTAACGCCTTTTCTCATCAAATAAGCGGCGAGCCCGCCGACGCGGGAAGCGGCCAAATGACAATGGCGTAACCCTGAGATATTTCCTCTGTCTTCTCATCTCCGTCTGTCTGGAGCCCCCACCGGCGAGCCCCCGAGTCCCCCATTCTCTGTTTAATCCCAGCTACTTTGCATCTCTGGAACTTGGCTCCGAGCACATTGTGTTATTTTTACACGCGGGCGGGCGAGCAGAGCGTGCGTGCGGCGGCGGTGTAGATTTCCAGCTTTTTTCCGAGCACCTTCCTCCAACCTCGCCCATCTGCCGCCATCTGCCTCACTTTAGCCCGCACTTTCTACTGCGACACACACACACATGCACGCACGCGCGCGCACACAGGCGTATAAACGCACATCCTGTGAAAAATAACTAGCAGCCTCCAATCAGCTTTTGGCACACAAAGGAAGGCTCTTGAAAAAAACCCAAAACGCAGAAAATGCGGCGCCAAATTGTCCTCGCTACTTTTTCAAGTGGGATGCGCGCCGCCGCGCCGCACCGCGCCGCGCCGCGCCGCTCCCCTGCCGCCTCGGTCCCCGCATCGCTTGCCACGGTGATCCGGTGGCCTTGGCGCTGGATGGACGCTGGCTAAAAGAAACCGGGAGCACTTCACGCTCTTTCCAATTTAGCCGCCGCGTTTAAAATGCGCCGAGGAGGTGTCATTCTCGCTCGGTCAATACGGACCATCGATTCGGTACGCCGACACAAGGAAGGTATGGAAAAGGCCTGGACAAAACGATGAGGACGTGGGGGGGCAGGAGAGAAAAAATGCCTTGGACAACATGAACAGTCATTTGTCATTTTTGGCTATCGAGATCTTTTTTTTTGAGGGGCGCGGGCTGAATTGAATTCCAACACGCGGCTCAATGATTGACAGGTTAGCCCGTCCGCCCGATGATGCAGAGCGAGCGTGTTTGATTGCGGGCCCCGGCCTGCCCGCGTGGAGTTTGCATGTTGGCCCGCGTGGCTTTTCTCCGGGTCCTCCGGTTTCCTCCCACGTTCCCCCCGGCAATTTCCAACTGTGCCGTTGCCCTTGGCTTCAAGTTTGTATTTTCTCGGTGCAAAATATGAGTGCCGAAAGAAAGACCTTCAATCCCACCAGTGCGGTGTATGTTTGGAAAAGCCGCCCCGGTGTTGGCTCTCACGAGATTGTGCAGGCGCGCCTCGTGCTGTGTCTGCGTTCAAGGAGCCGTGCGAGTGGTGCCAGCGATACCTCGGGCGCCAAGTACTCGGGCGTGCCGCAGAAGGTCTTCATGGTGGCCGCGTCCGTGATGCCTTCCTTGCACAGGCCGAAGTCGGTGATCTTGATGTGGCCGTCTTTACTGCGCATCAGGTTCTCCAGCTGGGAGGAGCGCGCGCGCGCGCACACACACACACACACACACAACATATATTCCTGAAACGCATTTAATTCTTGTCACATGATTATTTTTCTTTATTTCTTGATCTTGTAATATATCTTGATCTATATTTATCGACCAAAGATTCCAGGTATTTTTCCATGGTTCCAACTTTTTGTGGGGAAAAATGCGACCAGATTGCGGTGATTGACTGAGAGCAGAGCGCCGATGTTTACCTTGAGGTCGCGGTACACGATCTTGGCCGAGTGCAGGTAGTCGAGCGCCGAGACGATCTCGGCGCCGTAGAAGCGCGTGCGCTCCTCGGAGAACACCCGCTCTCTGGATAAGTGGAAAAACAGCTGTGGGGAAAAGGCGGGTGGGGGGGAGGGGTGGCGCAGCAATAATTACTGATTTATTGGAGGAAATTAGCACAACACAAACTGTCTGCCCGCACCATATTGAGATGATAGATGGCGGAGGGGAGGGCGAGCGCGTCAAGTGGAAAAGGGGAGGTGGGGGGGGGGGTCCCTCCGAGGAGGGCGGGTGGATGGAGGCACTCAGCAGCTGGCACCTCGTCTACAACCGCCCCCCCCCCCACCCACCTCAGGCGAGGCTGACGAAGCGCTGGCGTGGATTTGGGCAACGGGGGCCAAACGGAGGGTTTAATCCATACGCCAGTTAAGTTAAAGGGAGGCGGC